TAAAAATTTTTGAATTTATAACACTGATTACGGCATTACGGCATTACGGCACTACAGAATTACGGCAAATAATACGGCACATGCCATTGCCGTAATAATTTGCCAAATTAATTCTACCACCAACTATATGTGTAATTAACTTACAACACATGTCCATAAGGTAACTATAATTTAAGACATTAGTAATAATAATATCTTGATTCGTTGGGAATTAGCGGAAACTTCGTTTCCGCTTATTCACATACGGTCAGAGTATTATTTCCGGAGCAGAGCGGAGGAACTTCAGTCCAGACAATAGATAAGAAAAATTTCGTATGGGTCGATTTTAATTCAAAATTCAATAAGCAAAATTTAATCAGCACGTCATCAATAATCAACTATATAGCAATCAATTAACTTTTAGTAATATATTATTTAACTTTTATTGAATATGACATATTATCCGTACAAATTGATATATACAATTTATTACAAAATTTTTATTTTATACAATTTAAAAAAAAAAAAAACAAAAATTCAACGACATTTAGTATTATGTAGTTGGCCGCTTATAGTAATAATAATCATCATCATCAAAACTAGCGATGCCATAATTCAAATTTTTCATGATCGAAACATACTTGTGTAGAGACGTTAATCGACTCAACCTGCCATAAATTTATTATAATTATAGAAATAAATGCCATATATGGGTTCAGTGCAGAAATAAATCAAATTTTTGAGCACTTTACTTTTGAAAGACTTCAACGTGCTAAAAGATACAAGAATTAATACTTGAAGTGACTTACATATATAACACGATTTTTAATTAATTTCACATTTAATATGGATATTTAAATATTCTCATAATCCGGATAGATCAGTTTTAAAAGTTTGATGGATACTTTTTTAAATTAAAATGTTTTGTGTATTTTTATTGCGTCTTATAAACTGATTTGAAACGTTGATGTAATAAGAACTACTTAAATTTTTGAGATCTAATAAGTGAGAACAATTTCTTATGTAAATTATATAATTACATCATCTTAACCCAACTCATAGCGCTAAAGCATCTAAGAACCGATTTTACAGAGTTAAAGCCCTTTAGCTTTCATTGGACAGATATATGAAGATAAGTATATAAATGTTATACGTTTACACTATAAGAATTTTTATTAATATCTTGCAAATAATTAGATTTGTTTGCAAACACAAAGCGGCGCTCTGGAACCCAACGGATCCCATTTTCATAGTTAATTAATCCTCCCGTGACCTTGATATAGTGATCGGATTAAATAAGTAATCCCCGATCACTATATCAAGATCACGGGAGAATTAATTAATAATACCCTGACCGTATGTGAATAAGCGGAAACTTTGTTTCCGCTAATTCCCAACGGATCAGGATATTATTATTACTAATTTTCAAAAAAAAGTTATTCTGGATAAAATTGATTGTATATCGTATCAATAAGACTAACGATGATTATAAATTTATTAAAAGTACAAATTTAATTTTCATGATGAAATTTGAATTTCAATTATAAATGACGATGTAAACAGGGAAAATCAGCAACATTATTCTATAAAACTTATAAACATAAAAGAACCCTTATTTCAACCATGGTAATTTGCTATTTACTAGAAGTAGATTTATAGCCGGTAATTACTAAATTCTTAACCAAACAAACAGAAATAAACTGATAAAAAGAGTAAACCCGACGTGCGGTGCATTAATAGAAACAGCGCTAGATTTAGAAGCAGAGCTAGGAGTCTTATTTAAAGTATTAAGCTCATCAATGATCTTAATATCAGAACATTGGTACCACGTCGTATTGATTGGAGAAGTATCATTGCCGTGAATAAAATACGTTTGAAGAATGCCTTGAGTGCCAACAGTTGCACCGGCCCTGGTTAGATCCACATAGGTCGTTAAATTCTCACCCAATGTATTAGTGACGTTATAGAATCTCGGCTCTTTATTGTTTGCGATGAAAATAAAATTATTAAAGTAATTTTAAAACCAAATTATGCGTCAAAATCATATATTCACCTGCCACGGGGTTGAACTTAGCGCCGCCATCGTTAGAATACAAATAATACAGAGTACCATTGACAGAATGAGTATGTCTAAGTACAGAATAACCCTTTACTATTATAATAAATTAATATTTATTAGAAATGAAAAAAAAAAAAAACAAATTTACAGGATGTTAATTCGTATACTCACTAGGAAAAGTAGTAATGGTGGTCTGATTAATATCACGAAATTTATCACCACACGGAGCACCAAAATCGCAAGAAGCGTCACTTCTAGGTCGAGGCACCAAAAGCCGATAATGCGCGGTTACAAAGTTAAGCAAAAGCGCAAAGAAGATGCCAAAAATGAAGAATTTCATTGTGCTTGTTAATTTTAAGACACGGATATTCAAATTAAATATTTCCAAAAATCCGTGAGCGTTATGAAGTCCAAATTCAGGTGGTATTTATTCATGTTTTTTAATACTCTAATAGTAACCCTAAATAATGAAAATAAGAATGCATTTATCTATAAGTCCATTATGGGGCTAGCCTTCTATTGTGCATTTAGTGAGGCGCTGCATTTAGCGAGGTTGCATTTAGAGTGTCTGATTGTATATTTTGAGATTTCGGAATTTCTTTTTTAATTTTAAGGCTAATTAATATTTACAAACATTCGGTTTTAAGACAAATTAAATATTTCTAAAAATTCACAAGTTTTATGAAGTCCAAATTAAGCTGGTGTTTATTCATGTTTAATAATACTTTACTAATATATTTGGTGATTCCGAAGTTCCTTTTCTTAATTTTTTAATTTTTTATTTTTTTTGAGCACGGGAAGTGTAAGTATAACAAATGCACTAAGTGGTTAGCAACAAGCAATTAAACATGCATAAAGTACATCATTGAAAGATTAAGTTTCGATAATCGTGAGATGAATATTTCACAAATTTCCTGAATTTGTTATACAATGTCGCACATTAAAGATTAGGTTTCGATAATCGTGAGATGAATGTTTCATAAATTTCCAAAAATGATCAATATTTTGGCAAGTGTCCTAAATATTATTATTATGCTTTATGCAGCATTTACCGTTACTAAGTATGTTAACAGCAATTGTGAGCCGATTTTGAGCAAGTTTTGTAAAAAAAATTGGCATTTTAATTGGTCTTCTGTCAATAAGTAATGTTACAAAAAAGGACATTTATAATAGATTTAGTTTTATATAGTTTTTGTGTAATTTAGTTGGGAACGATTGGGGGAGGAAATTTAATCGACCGTTATCCGGCATTTATATGATCATGTGAATTTTTTTGCCTTGATATTTTTTGCATGATATTACGTAATCATTTATGCAAAAATATCACAGGAAAAAACATCACATG